GCCGGGTTTAAAAGAGCTAGTTCCAGGACAGCCTCCAAAGCTACAGAGAAACCCTGTCTTCAAAAACAAAAACAAAAACAAAAACAAAAAAACAATCCAGGGTCTTACTATGTAGCCCTAGCCAGCCTGGAACTCAGTATGTAGACCAAACTGGCTTTGAACTCAGAGATACAATAGTCTCTACCTCCTAAGTGTTGGAATTAAATTAAAGGTGTAAAACATGACTAGCACTGTTTTCCCTAATTTTTGTCTTTACCTAGGGTGGAGTTTCATCTTGATTTTATATATGTATGGCTATTTTTTTATTTCAAAAATTGACTTTAATAAGCTTGTTTTTAATTCACTTTTTATTTTTCTCAACAATGTTTTTGTTGTTGTAGTTTTTCAAGACAGGGTTTCTCTGTGTAGCCCTGGATGTACTGGAACTCACTCTGTAGACCAAGCTAGCCTTGGTCTACACCAAGATCACACAGATCTGCCTGCCTCTACCTCCCAAGCGCCAGGAGCAAAGGCATGTGCCACCACTGCCCAGCTCAATAATGTGTTTTTAATGCACACAATCCACTTATTTCTGAGACTCTCAAGCATACTTATTGTAAAACTTTCTGTAAGATTCTCAAGCTAATTTTGGTATGTTTAAAGCCAGTCAGGGCTACACAGGGAGACTGTCTTAAAAACCAAGGTGAACAGTGACTTCAACTTCTGACCTCCACACAAGTACATACACCCAAAAGTGCTCTGACAGTTATAGACACCTAAGTATGCACACATGGAGATAATAGTTTTCTAAAATGAAGGTAATAACAGCAGCAAGGTTCACTGATGTAAATTTGTGATCAGCTTGCTCACAGCTGACATGTTCGCACTTAGATGGCTCAAGTAACACCCGAAGCCAGGTGGTGGCACGGGCCTTAAATCCCAGCACTCCGGGGACAGATCGGTGACAGAGGCAGGCAGATCTCTGAGTTAGAGGCCAGCCTGGTCTACATAGGCAGTTATGGGACAGCCAGGGCTACACAGAGAAACTGTCTCCAAAAAAAAAAACAAAAAAACAAAACAAAACAAGAAACAAATGATAATTGAAGAAGCCTTGTCGAGGGCACTTACATTCACTTTTCCCCTGACTTCCATCCCTATCACGGCGACCTCAGGTTTGACAGTGACTTTTTTTGCCTTCAAGTTTAAGGGGTATGAAATCGGTATAAGTGG